CCGGGGTCCCCCCCGCGTCTCTCCCTCCCTCCGCCGTTCGGGGGGCTCCTCTCCACCCTCCGTAATACTTCAGGCGCCTTCCCCAGGCCAAACCCGGGGGGACTTACTTACCCCGCGGGGGGTGGGGGGGCCCCGCCCCGCGCCCTCAGCTCTGGGCGAGGAGGATGGAGGTGAGGAGGGCGTCGGAGAGGGCGACCTTCAGCAGCACCACCCGCACGGCCACCAGCAGGGCGGCCGAGGCGCGGGCCGGCGGCTCTGCAATGGAAGGGAGGGGGTGACGCCTGCCACATCACCCCGCTGCCCCCACGTCCCCTCCAGCGTTGCCGTGGGGCCAAGACTTCAGGCCCGACAGGGTCCCCGGGGCCCGGTCCTGGGCTTTCGTCACCCGCCCGCGTCCCTGAGACACCCCGCGTCACCCTCGCGCTGTCCCCGAGAGCAGGCTGGCTGTGACCCACCCCCCCACCGAGACGGAGCTTCATCCCCTCTTCCCCAGCCCCGCGACGCTGCGGGGACCCGCCCCGACCACCGCACGGCCCCGGCCGGGTCCCTGCCAGGAGCCCAGCAGGGTTTCCTCCCTGGCAACTGGCATTCCCGCCGCGGCAGGGCCCGGAGACTCACCGGCCGTGCTGCCGGGACACGGCTCTGCCGCCTCCTCACTGCCTGTGGGATGAGAGAGCAGCTGGGGAGGCGGCGGCAGCGCCAACACCCCAGCACACCTGGCTCCGGGGCTGGCCGCAAACCCCTTCCTGCGCTTGCCGGCTGGAGCAGCGACGTTGGCCCGCGGGGCCTCGCACCTGCTCCCCGCCAGCCCCCCGTCCTCCGGGGCCACCGGGGCGCTGGGCAAGACGGGCAGAGGGGGTGGCAGCAGGGCCGTACCCGTGATGCGGATGGGGCTGGAGCTGTGGGCTGGGGAGGTCCGGTTGGTCCCCACGTGGCAGGCGAGATCCCCCTCGGCCGTGGGGTCGTCGGGGAGAAGGGAGACGGTGCAGACGGTGCCACCGTCCTCCTGGGAGGCCCCGTAGGCGAAGGACTGCAGGGCGCTGCCGTTCTCCCCGGAGATCCAGACGGCGTGGCCGGAGCCGGGGGGCAGGTCGCTCACCACGCAGACCACCAGCCGCCGGCGCTGCCCGGCCCCCACCATGGTCAGCGGTGGGGGCAGGCCG